ATGTCTACTCCTAAACTGGTAAACAGATATTGTTAGCTTGTACCATACTCAGACGACATAGCTCTACTCTCACTGTGATACAGAAGGTTTTTTTACAAATGTCTCAGACCCAAAGCTAGATCGTGAATTTTAGGCAGACCCACTCGACAGCGCCAAATTTTAGCGCATTTGACCCCAACCCGAATACCCCACTTGCCTCCCAATGTATATTATCATCTCGTAACTTCATAATTAAGGTGGTCCGATATTTCATTTAAAGAGTAAGTTTTTCGATTCCTCGGCACGTAGCCCGACACGTGGACACGTAGCCGGGCGAACTTCTTTGGTTGGCTAAGGGAGGGGGAAGGCGCAGCCCCCCAGAACATTTTTGAGAAATTATGTGTTTTAGAGACGACATTTGGCTTTAAAGAAATTTTAGGACAGTAATAATCAGACATCACAATAATACACATTTGGGGTCTTAGGGGGGGGGGCGCAGCCGCTGGCCTTCTGGACAAAATTTTGAGAAATAGGTGTTCCAGACTACATTAGAGACGCAAGTATCAGAACATTACAATAATACAATGTTGGCTGGGACTGGGGGGGGGGGGGGGGGGGCGCAACCCCCGAAAATATTTGAGAATAGGGTGATGTCAGGACGAACATTGGGCATAAAAAAATTTGTAGGAGAGCAATAATCAATACTTCAGAATAATATAAAGTTGGAGGCTAGGGGAGCGAACCCCCCAGGAAAATTTTGAGAAATAGGTGATTAAAACGGCATTTGGCATTAAAGAAATTTGGGGCTAGTAAAAATCAGACCAATCACAATAATATAAAGTTTGGGGGGACCGGGGGGGGGGGGGGGGCGCAAGCCCCCCAGAAATTTTTGGAGAAATAATGTTTTTTTAACAGACATTTGCATTAAATAAATTTGTAGGACAGTAAAAAATCAAACATCTACAATAATCTAATAATACAAAGTAGGTGAGCTAGGGGGGCGCACCCCCCGAAAATTTTGAGAAATAGGGTATTCAGACGACATATAAGCGTTAAAGAAATTTAGTAGGGCAGTAATAATCCTGAGACATCACAATAATATAAAGTTGGTTGGCATAGGGAGGGGGGGGGGGGGGGGGTGGGGGGGCGCAGCCAATTCAGAAAATTTTTGAGAAATTATGTGTTCGGACGACATTTGACATTAAAGAAAATTTGTAGACAAGTATGTATAATCTGACATCACAATAATAAGTGGAGGGCTAGGCAAGGCGCAGCCCTGGCCTTCGGAAACTTTTTGAGAAATAGGATGATCCAGACGACATTTGTGGGACTGCAATAGTTCATACATTACAAAAATACAAGGTTGTGGGCTGGGGGGTGGGCGCAGTAATAATCAGACATCCACAAAAAGATAAAGTTGTGGACTGGGGGGGGGGGGGGCGCAGCCCCAAGAAAATTTTTAGAAATTATTGATGTAGAACGACATTATCATTAAAGAAATGTTGTAGGACGCGATAATACAAAGTTGTGGGTGCAGCCTCCCGGAAAATTTTTGAGAAATGGGGTGTTCCAAACGACAAATGTGAGACGCGCATAATCGACATGACAATAATACAAATTGGTGGGCTGGTGGGGGGGCGCAGTAATAATCAGACATCACAATAATAAAAGTTGGGGGACTAGGGGGGTTGGGTGGGCGCAGCCCCCAAGAAAATTTTTATGAAGAGTAATTTGTTTTAGAACGACGTATGAGGCATTTAATGAAATGTTGTAGAACGCGGCGGATAACGTGAAGTAGGGCTGAAGTGAGCCCATTTTATTTTGATCTTCCTGGTACAATGCACAAAACATTTGCTGCACAATTCTTTATCCATTGAACATAGTCTTAACCTTAACCTCTTTAAAAAGGCTTTAAAGCATTTCTTACAAAATTTTCTCGATGTTCCATAAAAATCATCTTTCTTTGAGCATTCCTCGTTAAAAAAGCAGCTGTTTTTAACAAAAAGCACTTCATAAAACTCAATCTTTAACATAAAATCTCCTTCTTTCAACTATCTCCCTGAGCCTAACACACAGTTAAGCAGGTGTAACAATTTTATTCATTGATTCGTTGATTTATGTGTGTTTTCTTTTTAAATGTTAGAGGCATGTGATGGTTTACAGATCATATTGTGGTCTGTACTCTGTAGACCAATTGAGTGCATGCAAAACCGACTTTTGATCGACTTTTGCATTAAATCTTGAGGGACTCAAAGGATACGATCATAAAATTAATAACACCCTTAACACTGTCTTGATTTTGTCTAATAACGTGAAATTTGATTTTCAATGTTCTGATCTTATCTGTCATTCAAAGTATAACTTATTATCATATAATATCTCGCTCAGCATCTGGGACTCTCACTTGTTACAAGCGGTGGTTTGTTATTTCACCACCAATTAGCATAAATTTTACGAAGTTATGGTTTTTTTTCCCTTCCTTTTGAAGCAAATAAAATTATTCAATAACATTGTTCATCTGGACTCTCTGTCATAGCTTTGTTTGATATAAAAGATAAAAATAACTAATATCCTCATCACCTCAGGCAACTGCAATAACCAACGAAGAACAGAGAGACAAACCGACACCTCCAATGTTCCGGCCCCTGAATAGAGTGTCAGAGAGCTCTGGCAGGTCGTCACCGAGAAGACGGTCAGATAGGTCCATAAAGCGTATTGTGGAGTCCGACAAAGAATCGGATGCGGAATCAGATCACGACTTCCCTGGCGAGAGCGAGGCCCTGATATCATCTGACAATGATGGAGACGATGGTCATGGAGCTGTTACCAAAGTTTAGGACTAGTTTTAGTTCCTTTAGATTGTTTCTGTTTGGATAAAACTCTTATTTTACTACGCTTATGTTATTTATTTAGTATTCTACATCTAGCTTTATTTAATGCTAAACAGTCAAATTTTTTCACGATTTTTTTGTATTTTCCACTCGACCCATTGCATCTTCTTGTAAAACTATCACGAAACGAATTTATAGGATTTGATTTCATTAATTTTGGTTGATTATTTGATTAAGTATGTCTTTTAAATTTAATCATAGTTCAAAATCAAAGTTGCTATAATTCTCGTGTCTTTCTTGGATATTCTCCTGTAAGTTTGCCAAATGAACGAACCGTTTTTGTAAGATCCATCATATTTTAATGCTTCAGCTTTTCGAGAGCCCATATACTTGACTTATGATTTCTTTTTATATCAACGGATGACAAAATGAGAGTCTCGACTCTAGTTTTTAACTGAGTGGAGACTGATTTCGTCCACTGTAGATAAATCATGGACGACCCACTGAAAAGAGCGAAAACTGACAAATACAAATGTATGCTTGATTCCTGTTGAACAGATTGCGTGGATTTTTGTTGAAAACTAAAATAAATTTTATCATGGAATCTAAGAGCAGCTCCTGTTGGCGAGTTCCCCAAGTCGTCTTAAAGTTTTGAAATCCGTCAAAATTACATGATATTTCAGATGAAGTTGAGACCGTAATACTGTATGCCAGTATATTCTGTTTGATCAGCATTCAGCATGTGCAATAGCTATGCTTGGCAAAATGAGCTAAAAGAGCCCCTGGGTATCCAAAGCTTGGATGAATGTATTTACAACATCCCAATTGATGAACTATGAAGTCCTGTGGTCCGTTTTCCTATATGTCAGCCAATGATCTATTTATGTACTGAGCGCGAACTCCAATCAATTTTATAATATGCAAATCTAGACTTGGCGCCGCGCACGCACCATCTCATAACCGGCCGGCCTAGCTAATGCATGATTATAACACGCGCGCGCGTTATTATTTTCCATACGTCTGTAAAAATCCCCAAATAATTGCTTATACATATTACGTAACAATATTGTTCTAACCAGAGCCCTCTCGCTTGCAGTAGCGCGACCGTCGAAGGAGGTCTATCATACTTGTGAAACAAGCGTAGTCTCGATCATGGCTATGTGAATAATAATACTTGTAGGTTTATAACCTACTAGGACGCGCGCCGAGTTGGACTCGTCGACGGTCCTAATATTTGCAGAACAAATATTTTACGAGTATCACCCGTTAAAATAATACAAGCGAACGACACTCATTCGACGTGTCTCGACGACGCAAAAATTTTATGGGAATTGGGAAATCGTTCAATTTAAGATTATTTGCTTCCATATTATTCTTTTTGAAGTAGAGGAAAAATTCACGTTTGCTCTATATATCATATATATGCTAACCAGTAACCAAAGCCATGTCATTGCTATGCTGTGGCGCTTGTGAAACAAGCGCGAAAGCTTATGGTCATGGTTAGGTGACTGTTGCTACTTGATTGACGATGTTGTTATGTAGGCATGAAGTATGTCGGAAGTTAAGTTGATTCCAGGTAATGCCGTTAGTGTAAATTCGATTTGTTATTACATGTGAATTAGATTTGCGATAAGCATTTGAAAGTTACAAAAAAAGGTTTGATAAGAGAAATTGGCATAAAAAGGACACTTTATTGTTTATAAACTTTATCACTTAACAAGATATTCATTTATTGGAATTGATATGTAACCAGTTTTTAAAAACCGGTGTTTGTATAATAATCTGTTTGTTTGCAATAACCTGTTTGCAATAACCTGTTTGTTTGTGACCTGGATAACGCGCTACCACCTCTTCCACTGGAACTCCTCTTCCAACGAACAAGAAGGACTATATTATATAAAGAGGAACACATAAGATTCTCACTGCCGTCTGCCTTTAGCCTTTTCCCGACCGCCTCTCCTATGATTGGTTTTCCCTACACGGCCCGGGATGTTAGAATGCTGCGCTTTCTCCCACGTCACTAGATTCATAAATAGGTTTGTAGTTCTTTATTTTAAATCATTGACCTTAGTATTTTGTTCCTAAGACTGTATCAATATCATGCATAATTAGGTTAAGATTAAATCCATGAGTTCAAGTTCTGTGTATAATATGCGGGTAAATACTTATCCGTTGTTGTTCACCAGATTTTCCTAACGTCATGCCAGATCATTGCAATTGGTTCCCGTCGCTTCTGTTCAATTCCTGATAGGCTAGGAAGTTTGTTCCTCGAGGTATAGTTTTATAATTATTAAACCATTAGTTAGATGTTGTTCATTGCAATGTTATTCCCAATTATTGATTCACATTGTTCGTAATACTAAAGTCATTCCCGATAGGTTAGTAATTGAATTCTAATAGGTTCGTCATTCCTAGGTAATATTGTGGGTGAGCCCTATCCTAACCTACCTGCTTGTCCCAACCTTAGCAGCACCTACCTTATTATCTCGTAAGTCATTGAGGATTAATTGATACGTTCTTACATATTTCATATTCTACAGTTTACTCTATTTAACTTTATCTTGTTTAATTAACGTATTATTGTCATTAATCAATTCGTCACTTGCTAATAATTTGTCCCTTTTAGGACATTCCCCCTCCCACGGATTCTGCCCTCGTTGCAGCATTGAAGGAACGTAGCCATGATATAGCAGCTACCCGTCCACTGTACTAGAGAGAGAGAGAGAGCCAGCCATCCCGTTATACTAATACTACGCACCATCGATCATCGTCACAGTTACTGAGCGGATTTAGGGTACAGACTTTACTAAGTGCTGTTTGTTCGACTCATTAGTGATTGTATTTTTATATACCTTTTTCATGATTTTCATTTACTTGTTTCAATTGGTTATCTTCCAGATATAAATTCATCTAAAAGTTAGAAGTTAAAACTCTAGATATAAATTAACCTAAAAGATCGAAGTCCATAATCATAACATAAATTCCTGTCATAAATCTGCCATTGTACACTGAGAGTTTGGGTTTGAACTGTGCCCTGAGTTAGTCTCAAACCGGGAGGTATTCCATAATATCGGAACCTGAATATCCATACTCTAGTTAAAAGGAGCCCATTATACGTAGTTAAATTAATACCATCACAATTTAATGAAATATAATAAATAAATAATCTCTAGAAGTCCTGGAAAATTGGAGCAGTAAATAGGCTGTTAAGTAAGTTGTCGTGCTGAAATCCGAGTACGCCACTTAACAGATGTCAACCCATAGAGATCGTTGCTCTGCAAAGCAGAGCAACGATCTTCGATGCGAAGCAAGAATACTAGTTCGCGTCGAAGCGGCGAAGTCCTCCAAGTTGTTGATTCATGATGTCAATCCTTCGCATCTCGCCGATGATCTGCGAGAAGCATTATTGGATGCGCGCGCGCGACCCAGTAGTGCATCGCGCTACAATCCAAGTTGCTACATGCACATTGCACTTTGTATGACTCCCTTATAATCCCCAGGAAACGTTACGTCCTTACTGGTAGGTGCCTAACTTCGAAAATAAAAGAGATAGAAACGTCTGGTTTTCAACAAAATGTTCGCTTTGTAAAAATAGCGTTTCCTCCCCAGGAGGAAAATTCAAGACAACGTAGATTTTTGAATTATCGCGAAAGGTCTCATTTTGGACCTTATAATATAAAAGTGTGCAGCTTTAACTTTGCGGACTCTTGTTTTCTGATTGGCTAAATTGTATTACGTGGTGCAATTGCATTTTTGGAATGTTTGAAGCGTGCAAATTATTAATTGCGAATGAAATACAATGAACTAATGATCAGCGCGCGCGGAGTTCAACAACAAGGCCCTTTAAGCATGAAAGTGATCTGGATCGGTGCATTTTTGGACGCAGATTCCGAATCAACCCCCATGACGTAGGGTTAAAATGCTTCCCTGGAGAGTTATTGGCAAAAACCGTTTTGGTCACGTGACAGGGTAGTAAAACGTGAATTCGATTATTTAGGGCTCGGGTTAGGGTTAGGGTTGTGGTTAAGATTATGGATAGCTTCAGGGTTATGGTTGTTAGGGTTAGGGTTGGGATTAGGGTTTATGTAAAACCGTTTTGTACGGCTGCAAAACCAAAAAATCCAATGTCACGTGAAATCTTTGGGCGAGCGATTTAGTAAAAGCCGGTGAAAAGGGCTTGTAATAGTTTGCTCTCCCAAAAATTATCAAATGACTTTGGTTTTTTTGGTTTTACAGCTGAATAAAACGGTTTTATATATATATATATAACCATAACCCTGAAGCTATCTATGCTATATAACCCTAACCACAACCCTAACCCGAGCCCTAAACAATCGAATTTGTGTTGCAGTTGCTCTATCCAGAGCCCTTGCGCTTGCAGTATAATATAGTATTGCATCCGCCCGCCCGCAGTGGCGCGAAAGCACATGTTTAGGTGAAGAATTTGTGTTTAACTAAAGCCACAGGAGAACCAAAGTGCAAAGAAACTGCTGCTAACTGCTGCTGATTGTAGGTTTACAACCTACCAGGACGCGCGCCGAGTTGGACTCGTCGACGGTCCTCCGATATATGGAACAGATATTTTACGAGTATCACCCGTTAAGCTGCTGACTGCTGCTAACTGCTGCTGACTGCTGCTAACTGCTGCTGACTGCTGCTAACTGTTGCTAACTGCTACTAACTGCTGCTGACTGCTGCTGACTGCTGCTAACTACTGCTAACTGCTGCAAATGGCGCGCGCGCGACAGCAGCAGTTAGCAGCAGTTAGCAGCAGTTAGTAGCAGTTAGCAGCAGTTAGCAGCAGTTAGCAGCAGTTAGCAGCAGTTTCTTTGCACTTTGGTCCTCCTGTGGAGCTAGCCTGCCACATGACCAAAACAGTTTTTTGCCCATAACTTTCCAATGACCATGTTGAATCAGGACATTATCAAGAGCACAGCACCCTGTACAACTGTGTGGTGGCCTTCAAAGAGGTGTGGAAACAGTAATTCATGCAGCCCGGAAGCACTTTGAAGACGAAGCCACAAAAGCAATCTTACTTGTTGATAAGTTCAGGAGACAAAATAGTTTGCACCATACCTTACTATTATGATAGAAATATTCAAAATCTGTCAAACCGCCCAACCTCCATAAAGTTGTATGAAGTTTATGAACCCTCAATGTAGCTTCCCCTTTAAGGTTGAATGCAAACAAATATATACATACATACAGTGACTTCACGGTGCATAATAGATGGAGTAAGATTATGCATTATCTCTACTTCTATGTATCCCTACCGAAGTAAAATAAGTGTCTAGATTTTTAAAAAAATGCCTGAATTTGAATCATTTAACGGCCAGGTAGCGCAGTTGGTTAGAACGCCTGTCTTACAATCGTTAGGTAGCGAGTTCGAAACCCACTGACTGCCTGGTCGTGGGGTGAGCGTCGTCGACGTTCAGCTAAGGATCATGAGTGGTCTATGCAGCCCCCCGGTCTACTCAGCCAAATACTCGAGAAATCGGGTGTGAGGGTTAAATGAGGAGCTGCACATTGCAGCAAAGTCTCGGACGAAGAAAGTATGGTACACACTACCTTAACCGTCACTGGCCAAAAAGATCCTTTGGCTTCCTGTAATTGGCTGGTTGCACTTGTGTAACATTGTGGCTGTTGGAATACACCGAAGTAAAATAAGTGTCTAGATAAAAAAAAATGCCTGAATTTGAATCATGCGAACTTTTATATCGTTCACTATTGTACAGTGAGTATGATCAACAGATTCCTTTAATAATTTGTTATTAGAAGTGGTTTTATCATTTGGTACCAGTAATTAGTAATGGTTATTTAGGTTAACTTATCATTAACTAAATAATCAGTCCTCTGTTTTATAACCTGCTGCCAGCAGTGGCGTAATGTTGCCTGTTGGCGCCCCCCCCCCCCCCCCCCCCCCCCCCGCCCAAAAATGCGCCCCCTGTTGGCGCCTCTTCCCCTTTTGGCACCCCTCCCTAAAATTGAACAAATTGGGTGATTTTAGAGGATACGCCGGTAAAATCTCTAAAAAAGTGTGTTTTTAGAGCAAAACGCGCAGATTTGCTAGTACCTCGTTAAGTTTTTCAAAATTGTCACACCTTCAAACGACGATTTTGCGCCCCCTAAGATGGCGCCCCCCGCACAGCAGGGTCAGCGGGGCCCTTCGTTACGCCACTGACTGCCAGGGATTTTTTGCTTGTACTAGGCTTAAATTACTGTTGGTAACATTTGCTATTAAGTTTTCATGTTTTACCTCAAACCATGGCCATGGTTCGAATTTGATGTAAAAAATAACATAATTTTTATAAATCACTAAATTTCATAATTTTCAGAAATAGGATGGCTGATGATGTTAACCATGGCAGTAAAGATAACCGGAAAAGCTTTCTCAGTTCATTCGATGATGTTGATCAATTCCTTGAGGCTAGTGAATCTGTTGACGAAGATGCCGGAAATAAAACAACTGATATCGAGATCACAACCGATCTTGGTAGCAGTACAAGCATGCTAAGTCCTGCCTCCCCTATGCCATTTTTGAACAAGTCTTTTGATGGAAAGTTTCAACCTCGCAATCCGATTGCAGAAGTAATGTCAGAAACTGAAGAGTCCATGTCCCACGAGGAGCAGATACACTCAGACACTCCTTTACCACATGTTGACACACCTCTACCGAATCCAGAAGATTACCCGGTCTCTTCCAATCCTGATTCAGAGAGTTCAGATGAACTGACTGTTCATCAAGAATCTGACTCTCTGAATACAGAGGCCTTAAAATTAATGGCAGGAATGAAATCATTGCATATAAGTACAGACATCAACGTTTCTGGAGATAAGAATATCATTGAAAAGCAAGTTGAGGATCAAATTGTCAATTTTCAAAGAGGCCTCTCTGCTGAACTACCACCAAAGTGAGTTTGAATATTTCTGTGGTAATTGTTTTAGAATATTACGCTATAAAAATTGTCAAGCTATTTAATTCATGCATTTAATTGCTAGTACCTACAACAGTGATTATTTTTACTTTCTAGAAACTGTTCTTGTCAAATATTACAATACTGCAAATAGTTAATTCATTTCATGAATTGCAATGAATATTTCAGTGAATCTCTTGCTATCCCGAGTTCTGTCATGAAAGAGTCCAACCTTCTGGATAAAGGTGAGTGCTCAGTGATATTACTACATTAAGCTTTAGAATTTGACAAGAGAAATATAAAAATGGACAAATATTTTATCAAGCAAGAAAAATGTCGTTTATGTGCTCCTTTTTTATATATAATATGGGTAAACTAGACCTGCATAAGCCAGGGAACAGCCCATAGCAAGGTTACCAGGATGGCCCGGTACCTAAAAACCTCCTTTTTTAATTCTTTAACTAATGGTTGGGAAGCAGAGTTAAAAGTAGCTTGTTGTTTTTGACGTAAAATTAACTATTTTTTGAGCCTTGGCCAGATTTTAGCCAAATTGTAAAGTTGCCTTGAAGGGTATTTGCCCAAACTTAAACTCAAACTATCAATACATATTTCTCAGTGTCATTCATGGAGAGTAGTCTTCCTAAAGACAACACCTTGATGGCCACCGGAGCATCAATAGCAGACCTGCCCCTGGAGGAAGATTTTGAGAAGAACGAGTCTCCAGTGATAAGAGAAGAGGAGACCCCTAGCGAGGAGACTCCTAGTGAAGTTAAGGTGTCCGAGGTGGAAGAAGAAGTCGATAAGATTCTTCAGGATGTTAAATCCTCCGGTGAGTTTTTAGAGTTGGCTCCAGGTTTGTCGGCACCAATGTCATAATGGTTTAACCGCCGTGTTTTGGTTCAGACAAAATAGATTTTACAAATGTTTTACATACATTTTTCTCACTCCATTCAGCTGTAGTCTGGTTGTTTAGAGTGCTTCAGACACGGCACTATGGTGTAACATAACTTTGCAACATTTACAACACTATTTTCTGGATACAATTGAGCTAGTAACATTTTTTCAGAACGTGACTACTCGAGTGACCAGTTTGAAAGTTATGAGGATGTTTCAGACAACGACAAGTTTAATCGTCCGGATGAAATGCGACTTGCACCTGCAGAATCCCCTTCGAAAACTGCTTATTCTCCTATGAAAACAACTTTAAACCCGTTCGAATCGACGCCCATTGATATGGTTAAAATTAATCTTTCATGCTTTATTTTATTAATCAGTTCAATTTGAGTCAAAGCCTTATGCCGTAATTATGACAAATAAATGCTATATTATTATTAATAACAAATCATGGTAATTTCAGGACAGGTTCCAGGACCGCACTACTGGTTTTGACTTAAGTCCAGTACTAAGCAAAAGAGATCCTCACCTCAAGGATAACAATGAAGTGGACACACAAGGGGAGACAAAAGGGAAACCTTCCCAGTCACATGAAACTATTTCAACTACAAATCCTGATTATTCCCAGGAGAAAGATATGGCTTATTATCTGGCAAAAATAAAAGCGAAAGCTGCCCAAAAGAGTCAAGAGATAAGGTTAGAAAAATATATTTCACTAATAACCTAGTTATAAATATATATTAATTATCAGTATTAAATTTCGCTAATATTGCTATTATATCTGTTCAAGTCCACTATGATAATGTTCGCCAGTGTCCGAGTTGTCTGATCAAGCCCAGTACTTAAGTAGCAGTTGTTTTGCAAATCATCCATCTCATACATGGACATGACAACAAATATCTCCAAAACACTCACCACCAAAGCACTAAGCACTGCTATCCATGGTGGTGCAAAAGACCCTATTGCAGTGCCTGATGCGCCAACGATTATTGAGATTCCAGATGCAATTCCAGTCCAAAGGGCTAACATTCTTGAGCCGAAGTATCTCAGGTCATACATTACATACGTTGTGGCCATTTGCATAATTATACCATACGTAAACTTAACAACAACGCTCATTGTAACTATGATTATCGAATTTACTGGCCAGTAAAGTATGGCTGCGTAACTAAGGACTAAAGTCTCTGCTATCACTGTGAACACTAGTCTGTATCTCATTCTGTTCATGAAGGAGATCACCGAAAGTTTTCCCACACCCGCAGCTCCGGCGCCCAACGCTAGAAGAAGCAGCTCCCATCCTCTCGTTATACTCTCACAATTGCCAGTACTCTGTCCAACTACATTTATGTTAAATAGCTATATTAACGCAGGGAGGAGTAATATGAAATATCGTCCCCAATCCGTGATAATTAACTGACACCTTCAACAAAGTTATTTTGCATAGTCTGACTTTGAAATCAGGCACCTCAATCACATCTTGAGAATGGACTTGTGGTTGACAATCAGATGCAGATAAAGCCTCTAGTGGGACTGCCAAAAAGCAATGAAGGATAAGAATTGCTTCATGGTGCTTTAAAAATACTTCTCCGCTATTAATTTGTTTAGTAGGACTAAGTTATGGTAGTACGTCCTAAATCTGCTTTAGCCAAATATTCTGAGCACTCGAAGATTACAGTAGTTTATTTATGGACATGTTCATTTGAAGTTGAGTATGTTACATACATGATACATGGTAAGGTCTCTTCCTAGTCGTTGGAGTGGCCTGCATCACACACATCGCGTTGGTGGTGTTCCAGACTTCAGCTCCATACAACAAGATGGTGAGGGCAGCAGCCTTATAGATCCTGATCTTGGTTGGAGTCTTTATAGTTCTGCTATTCCAAATGATCCAGAGCTGATGAAAGGCGCCATTTGCCTTCTGGATATGAACCTCCATGTCGAGTTGAGTATATTGGTACAATATTAGTAACCCTATTAAATGGCACGGTGTAGTTTACTTTTGTCTTAGCAAGGAAGTATCACCAGTTTTTGTAGGTCCAGTATAGAGAGCAGTAGAGCATCAGATTCCAGGTCAGATAAAACTCCTGATTCTGAGTTTGTCAAACCAAAAACTCCTGCCCCTAAGAAGAAAGGACAGGACACTAAAAAGTTTACGAGCAGCATCAAGAAACCAACTATCACAACGAAGGATTCAGGTTTTCGCATTTTAAATTTTCGCTTTTAATTATTTTAAATTTTATAACGTTTTTAAAACTCTTTATTTTTGACAGACAATTTCTATTTTTAAACATAGCTTTTCGCCAGGACCCTCAAAAAGTAAAGTTCCTGTTAGGACTTCCTCGGCTAAATCTAAAATAGTGGCACAGTCCCCCGTTGCAGCTTACATTAGGGGTAAACCTAAACCTTCTCATCAAAATGGTAAGTATGAAAAAATGAAATGAAATTAGGTATTTATGATTAGCCAGCAACACAAGGAAGGTGGTTAACCATGCAAGAGCGGCTGACTGTGAGTGATGTGAGCAAATGTGTAAAAGTGAACAAAAGTGTAACTCATCAGGCAAAGAAAAAATTAAAACATCTTTTATTGTAAACGACTCTAAACTAAATTGATGAAAACTTAGAAAAGTTCAGTGTTTAGTAGAAAATAACGCATTGAATAATCAGATTAATGGGAGACACCATTCATTGTTATCCAGTTTCTTTAATTTAACTGTTTTTTTTTCAGATGGGAAAAATAATGTTAACTTGTCCAAACAGAACCTTGGTAACACATGGACATGTGCGTTAACTGACAAGAGTCTTGTGGAGGTCATTCAAGCAGACGGGTAATTCTAATAATTGCTATTAGTTGTATCTTAGTTGTATCTAAGTTGTATCTTAGTTGTATCTTAGTTGTATCTTAGTTGTATCTTAGTTGTATCTTAGTTTTATCTTAGTTGTATCTTAGTTGTATCTTAGTTGTATCTTAGTTGTATCTTAGTTTTATCTTAGTTGTATCTTAGTTGTATCTTAGTTGTATCTTAGTTGTATCTTAGTTGTATCTAAGTTGTATCTTAGTTGTATCTTAGTTGTATCTTAGTTGTATCTTGTATTATAACCAAATTTACTATATATTACTAGTCTAAAATCAGTATTTTTTTCTAAACGTCTAAATCCCTAACTTTAATTATCGTATTATCAGAGTAATTTATGGAACTGGAATTTTCCAAACTGTTGTGTATCTGATGTTCCCACCTCAGAGATGTGGAAGCGTGGAAGGAGTTGTATAGGCGCACCCAGGAGGAGTTGCGCCAGGTTCAGGAGCAGCTGCAGGAGACACAGCGTGCGCACAAGGAGCGTGTCAGCACCCTCAAGACAGCACACTCGCAGGAGCTCCACAAGTACAAGCAGGACGTGTATGTGCTGCAGTCGCGGGTGAAAAATGCCGGGAATGCGGGTGCTGGAGGAGGTGGAGGAGATGCGGACTCCAGAGTGGAGCATCTTAACAAACAAGTTGCTGAACTGGAGAACCTTCTTAGTGGTCAGTTATCTAGTTTTTAAACGTACTTTGGTTTGGTTTTATTATTGTTTAGTATTTGAATGACGTGATTGTGCATCAATCTCACGTGATGCCACTACAGGGTACCAGTCGGAGAATGTTAAGGTCTATGAGGAGATGAGAGGTCTAAAAGAGCATCAGAAGGACGAAATAACGCGACTCTTTCTAGAAAATAAAGATCTGGCGTCCAACAACGTTGCTCTGAAGCAATTACTCGAACAGAAAGAGGTAAAACATACGTAATATTCTTTTTTACCAACTGATATAACTGGTATAACTGATATAACTGGGAGTTATGTGCCTCGCCGGGCTAAAGTAGTGGATGACCTTGCTGTACGGCAAGTTAAACAAGGATCTGAAACTGCTAGGTTCCGTACAGACTCAACTCTGCACCCGTGTCAATATGTTCATTATATGCAAGCCTCTTGATTTATAATAAATATTATTCACTTTAAATAGATCATTAAATATCATAATTTAACATTTTACTTGTAATGACATTGATTTGAAGATGTTGAACTGTAGAATTGACTTTGTATGGTTGAGATCTCATTTATAACACGTAGTACAATATATTGGAACATTAAATAGTTTCTCATACTTACACACTGCACACCTCAGGCGTCAGTACGACAGTTGCAGCAGAACCAACAAACCCAACTTCTAGCAGACAAAGTGTCAAACCTGCCCAAACTAGCAGCTTTACAAGCTGATCTAGACGACTACAAACACAGGGAGATAATGTACCAACAGCGTGTAACTGTTTTAGAGGGCCGTGTCGGAGGGGGACCCAGGGAGTTTAGTGATGCTGCTGTTAACTCTTCTCTTGTACAGGTGGACCAACAGGTCTGTTAATTTGAAATATAATATAATGTATAGTTTACTCTACCATTTAAATTATGAATTACCAAATATCCTACTATACCTTTGTTTATCAATGAATTCAACTGCAGATAACCACTCTGGTAAAAGAGCAAACCCAAGAAAGGGACCAGCTTTACGAGAAATTGGAGAACTTGCTCCGCGAAAACGCCGACCTCAGGACTGACAAAGATCTGCTGCGACGGCGTGAGGATCGCATTGCTGAACTTCAGCATGCAGTGAAACTTTTGCAGAGTACTGAACATGAACAGAAGTTGGTTGCAACGGCCTCAGCTGAAAATGTCAGGACCATTAGCGATTTAAAACGACAGATTGCTGAATTAGAGTCAGCCCTACACAAGCGTCATCCTGATTCAATTACAGCACTCATTGCAGCCACTACACCTGTTGATAACTCAGCTAAGATCCTAGAAATGCAGGAGACTTTATTCTGGTCAAGAGAATATGAGGGCTATATCGCAAAACTGAAAACTGAAAAAAGTTCTGAAGTTGAACTAAGCAAGGTGCAGCAAATGAACAGAGTTTTAAGAGAGAAAGTTATCAGACTTGAGGAATCCCTGGCCGAAGCGCAGTCTCGTGCTGTTAAATTAGAACAAGAGAGTCGTGATCTCAGAGATGGTCAAATACCAACTGGGGAGATTAAACGGAAGATGGGGCTGTTGAATGAGAAGCTGAGAGTTCAGGATCAGCAGATGGTACAGTTAAAATCTCAACTGCTGCTTGCTGCACCTCTGACAATTAAAAAACAATATGATCCTGAACACTTTGAGGGAAAACATATTTCAGAGGTGCGAAAAGAAAACTCAATTCTGAAAACTAAATGCGATCTTCTGAAGATAGAAAACGACCAGCAGAAGTCCACATTACTGGGAATGAAAGTCACCCATGAGACAGAAGTAATGCGGCTCTCTGAGGAGCAGTCAACTAAAATGGACAAGCTCATCCAACACCACGAAGGAGAGCGACAGAAGCTTGTTACACAGCACGCGGCACGCTTTGCAGAATCTGAGGTTGCACGGTTAACAAATAAAGTGGAGACTCTGGAGCTTCAAGTGTCACATTACAGTGAACAAGCAGGCCATCTGCCCAAACTGCAAACTGAGACTCAGAACTTGAGGAATAAGGAGAAAACACTTGTGGAACAGATAACGAAACTAGGCAGAGAACTTGAGGAGGTTTGTACCATTTCTTGTAGTTTTTTTGAGGCCAATTCTTTGAAAATATTATACTTACTGAGCATTAATCGCCAAAGATGTGTTTTATCAGTTAGTATAAGATGTGGGGAATTGTTGTTCTCCCAACTGATTACACGTTGTAGAAGATAATATGGCTGTGACTATAATATGTTTCAGACGGCAGCTCAGCAGCCCCCTTCGTTACACCAGTATAAAACAATACAGCAGAGAGTTGAAAACATGGAACGTGCTCATAAGAATCAGACCGGTCAACTTCAGGATACTATCGATATACTCCAAAAAGCGAAGGTAACACAATTATCTCAGGAACTCATCGCTGTCATTATATTCCTCATAGAGGGTTAAACTTAATGTTAAACCTGACTTCTGGGTGTTAGGGATGGATTTCAAAAAGTGAATATTTGATTATTAGTTAAGAGCAAAAAATTCCTATTGTTCAGGTTAAGGTTGTTATAGCAGCGAACACATCATCAAGAAATATAAGAGCAGCTGATAGAAAAGAACCTTCAAATTGAACGATTTCAGAACGAGATAGACTCTATAATAAGCCTTTGTATGGAGCTGCAATCACATGGTATAGTTTTACCTAAACGGCACAATCTTGGACAATTCCACCTGTGATCATCAGGGCACCCCCACCAGTGACGTGGGTCCTGGTGAACATGTTGTCATTATTCAATGAGCTTTGCCTATTTGAGGGGCAATTCTGTTTGATAATCTAATAAGTAAATTCCGCACAAAATGTTGCGTTAGTTGGTCACTTCTCACGACCGTCTTTTAACCTTGTTGTTTTGTTTTTACCAGTATAATATTTTGTATTTATGTATGTATATTATCATAATTTCTCATCTAATAGTTTTAATATCCTTCATTTTTACTCCGTTCTAAATCTATTTGTAGCCGGCCTTTACGATTGTCGAAACTGCCGCCAATAACTGATCTTTAAGAAGCTCGAATTTTTCAATTTCTGCTAGATTATGTTAAAATTGATGTCTTGATGCTTTGAAATGAAATCGTAATTGTGACGTTTTGAACTGACACCGGCTTATGTCCAATGTTCAGTTTTAGTCAAATGGCGGTTTATTTAATGGGAACGGACGGGAACGCGCAGCGGCCGAACGTATATTTCTCTACGTGTCTAAGGACCTGTGCGCAACACCGCGCGTTCTGTGATCTTTAGGGGACTATTTATACGTGGAATACGTGGTGGGAAAATCTTTCGAATAAAAGCCCCAAATTAACCGTCTACTTTTTAAAGCTATGAATTTAAAACTGTTGACTACGATTTTATTCCTCTGGACATGGGTATCAGTGACACCTCTTCTTGATGAATCAGACGATGTTATCGAGAAATTTGTTGCAACGAGTGAATGGGCAGATATCAAAGAAGGTTAGTTCGCAGTTTAGAACCGACCTATAATTGGGCTCAATTTTAATTGTTTTTCTTTCTCTAAGAGCCAGTTCACTCTATCATTGTAATTGAAATTTCATGCTGCGTTGCTTACCGTCTAAAATCAAAATACGTAGGTCAGTCAATTGGCAAAGGGCTACACGTGAGAATGAACTTGGAAACTGGTAGAAAAGAAGCCAAAAAGTTATCGAAGGAGGATTCTGAATCATCAGGTTAGAATTTATGTGGAAATTTCGAAAAGATATGCTCTTTTCCAAATTCCAACACTTGTATGTATAATGTATATTTGTACATTTGACCCAGTTCTCTTTATCTTAACTCCTTCGCACCATTGACCAATGTTGTTTAACTGTATGTTTGTATTTCGTGTTTATTAGAATTTGAAAAGTTTCTCTACAGGGGTCGGAGAAAACAGACTGGCAATTAAAGATGCCAGCATAGTAGATCTTGGGATAGTTGACGATAGTTTAGATGTCGAAAAATTAGAAGAAGGTTTGAAACGGGCTGCAAACTCGGATGATTCGTCCGAAACCTTATCTGGAAGATTCAGAACAATTGAGGAGCTCAAGAAGTAAGTATTCTTAAAACCAGCGTCAGAACATATTAAATGGTTCGAAAAATGTTGGTACTTGGTAAGTATAATGTATATAAGGCAATCTCCTTAACAGTTTGTTCTTCTTGTTGATTCCGATGCACCTGCAGTTAAAATTTCCGTCCCCTTCGTTTCTACTCTGGAGCAGAATCCCCCTTTATTTGGCAATATACGGAAATATACGTTGGGGCCTATTTCTCAGTCACTGAGTGCCCAATTGAAATAATTCCTTCTGGAATGACCTGCTATTATCACTCATTCACATTTTTTCCCGAATAATCGTCAATTTTTCGCGGTTTAGAGATATTTTGGACGATTTGATCGAGTCAAATTGTAATGCATTGTGTTTGGCTTCTTAAAAATACACTTACCCTGAAAAAAATGGGAGCTCTAGTTACTCAGATGACCGAGATACATATCAAGCATAAAGAAGTTGATTGATTACATATGATCAGGTGATTGGGTTGACAGTAACTTAATTATATAACATAGATCCGCACTATGGGATCGTTCACATATGACGTCAGCAAGATTTTGGCAAATTTTACCCCTCCCCTCCCCCTGTCGCTTTGAGCGACCCCTCCCCCGTTTTCCCCCCCTCAAACCCCTATACTTGCTACTTATCCTCCCGGTCAAGGAGGATGTTTTGAAATGCAGACGGGGAGAGGGGGTGTTGTTGGGTAAGGGGGCAAGGGTGTAGACAGGGAAACTTGATTGTTTGAATAGGTGGTCAACAGAGTTCAGTTCACCGAAGTACTAATATTAAGGAAATTAGTGAAGTTATTGTTAATAACTTTGATTTGAAACACAAATGTTTGCACAAAAATTCAGGTATTTCTGCTGACGTCAGCAAGACTCCAGTCCCCCCTCCCCCCGTCAGCATTTCAACCCCCCTCGACCCTCAGTGCTGACGTCATGAGAATCGTCCAGAAAGCCCAATTATGGTGTCGTAGCAAATCATGGTTAGCATGTATCGTGAGATTCCTCCAAAGCTCCAATAGTGAATGGCACAATTTTAAAGTTTTTGTCGCCATCACCGCCTTTCTTAGGATCATCAGCATCCTGGTGTTTCCACGATATTCTGATAACCTTACTCGGGATTATTATGACCGGGATAAAGTGGTGGGTTTAGGGTAATTTCGCCATATTTTTCCCGAACCACATTTTTCACGGTCGTTAATTAAACCCGCCTATACTCAGCTTTTAGGGTTCCACGGGGTATTTTGGGGTGCTCATATTTTAATTCATTGTCTTATATTTCACTAAAGAAGCCTATTGGGACACTTGTTGTTAGGTTTTCGACTTCTTGGCTACAATTGCAAAAATTCCACTTCTTTGGCCCAATTTTTGTCATAATCCTTATTGTCAAATCTTTGATTTAAATAGGCCAATTTTTAATTTCTTAGGATCTGACTATCTCTACATAATGACAATAGGACTCAAAGTAAAGTAACAGTTTTAAATTAAAATAGAATTAATTAAAACTGATGAAAGGGATGATCAGATGAAGGATAACGGAAGATGATTACACTAATTTGAAGACTAACCCGCTCTCCCTTATTCTTAATATCGATGAGGTTGTTACGCTTCAAATGTTAAACATTATTTTCCATCTAGTTTGATTAACCACGAGTCATTATTATGTTCTACTTTCAACAATTAATTGATAATTCGACTTGTTTCACAAGTTTTTAGCAATGCGAAAATTTCGTAACTTGCTTATCTCTCAACAGGAAATTTACATCTGAGACAAAATTTTTGAATCTAAAATTGAACGGTTGGACCGGTAAATGGCGTCCGGAAAATGTGGAGGGTTTTGAGCAATTTGCCATATTTTTCCCGAACCATATTTTAACCGGTCGTTAATAAAACCGTCGTAATAATCGAGTTAAGGTAAGTTGACTTGTGTGATTTTGAGAAGGTTATGCGAGAGTTTGAGTCAAGTTGGTCGATTTGCTGCACTTCGTTGCGGTTTAAGAACCCTGACAATTTTAGGGTACAGATGGCTAAAAACGTGGCAATCTTCCCTTTGCAGATTGAAAATTTCACTGTAAAATATCGGGTTCAGTTAGCTTTTTATGGGCATGATCAATAGGGCAAATACTTCAGGATCTCGCTGTTCTACAAACATTCAAAGTGCGCAATGGTCTCTTACTGTACGCGCGAATTAGTCCAAGAAGTATCGCCTGCCATCCCTTTCACAAATCAAGATTCAGGGGCCAGCAATAAACTCGCTGTTAATTAGGTACCGGGCTGAAGGTAACCCAAACGAATGGATGAGCTCGAATAATTTCCTTAACAATATTCATGACTTCCTACAATCTGGTAGAATTTTGAACGCTTAATCATTTGCAATTGATAGTTGACATTGTTTGACATATTCGTTTTACAACATTTAATTTTGTGAGGATTTTAATAGCCAATATAATTTGTCCCACGCTGTGAGTGATTGTAGCCAATTTACCACTATTAGGAAATGCACAACGTGAGACAAATTATAATATGTAATATGTTTAGTAACAATTGGTCTGGTTCTACGCTGGTTGTTCGTGCCAGTCCCAATAACCAATTGGGAAGCGGACTCACTTTAGGAGCCAATGAAAATGTTTGCTGCAATAATTAGCTACAACCAGGAAGGTATTTGGGAAGGTAATTGGCATACTTTAATAAATTAAAATAGATCATTGTTAATTGTTATCTTGCTTTCGTATTTTTGTGCCTTGTTGTTACGTGTTCAGTAGGGCATCACGGCTCTCGACAGACCCAAAGTGAAACAAGGCAGCAAATGACTGTGAAAGGGCCTCTAACCGGAAAATAATCCGCACGTTTCGGGGACATCATGAGCCTTTTACTAGATTACTGATTATAACATTACAAGGGTTCATTGAAGTAGGCAAGATCACTTATAGAACTAAGTTAAACCAAGTAAGAAGGTTGCCTAACTTGCTAAACACTGGAGGTTAGTTTTAAACTAATATGCTGCTCTAATAATAGTGCATCCAAACAGAGGTTAAAATATGAAGTTCCAAAAGAACGATATCTACATAATTTAGTATTTTACTGTTTTTCGCGGATTTCAAGTGCTAATAAACAATGTAAGGTCAAGATTCAAGAAGTTAACACTCCTGGTCCATGAAGTATTGGTTGAGTTTCTCAAATAAATGGGACAACAAAGCTAATAGTACTAAAACCAAATTTATTGAGTTCAAATATGTTTTCGGCATACGAAAATAACAGAAATGATACTGTGTTGTTTGGTCTGTAGCAAACAGGATTTCTCGGGATATCCCGATGTTTCATATCCATGAATTTAGAAATAGTCCACCAATTCATTTAACTCAATCCAAAACGTCACTATTTCAAATAAACTTAGATACATCTCTCTTAAAATACATTTTTCCAGAGAGATGCCTAACTTGAAGATGCAGACGGAAGGAGAGGTATTAAAAGATAAGATGTCAGTGTTGAGTTCAACAAGTGACACGGACATTCCCTCTCTTATTATTGTGTTGGAGGAACTAGAAGATTTGGCTCACAAGGTTGGAACAGACTTTTCTTGTCGTGACTATAATTTTTATCGCTGACGTTTATCCATAAATGGCCATCATTATTTATTTAAATTTTAGACAACTAATAAAACAGTAAATGTCTACTTGTACCATCAGTATGATAACGGCCAGCTGTTAGTGACACAAGGATGGATGAAGCGAGTAGGGGAACTGCTGTTCCACCCTAGTGAGGAAGTTTATAAAGCTGTTCTCAGAGTCATCTCATCCGCTACTCAGAGTAACCCGCCCGTTCAAGTTCACTGCATTCAAGCTGGTAATTGGGGATTATTATCTTTTTTAATACTTTAATAGTTTTCTCAACGTTTGTTCTGCTTGAAGTAGATCTTGCACGTGCTTGATAAACTATTTACTGTAAAAATGTGCATGTCTCTGAGAATATAATTAAATTCAGCTCCAACCCAGGTTACCTGGGGACCCTAATATCCAGGCTCCTCTCTCAATCTGAGAAGCTCGCTAAATCCACCATCTTCGCAATCAGCTCCATGGTTAGGAACATGCCAGCTGCACTGGACGCTTTTAAAAGTTTACACGGTTACAATACACTGTCCACCAAGCTGGCGGTATCCACGCTGGGTCCACTCCAGAGAGCCATCCTGACCTTCTACAACGATATTCTGGAGCAGGACGTGCAGGTAAACTTAACTGGAGGTTCATAAAAGTGATCTTTGTAACGCTATCACAGTGCTGGCAAGCACAACCGTCAGTCTTTATACCTCCTTTGAGGGTATGGTAATTAAATTGGTATCGTTTTTATTTTTGTTCGGAAAAGGAGACACTGGCGACCCGAGACTCTACCAAATTTTGGGTTTTGGCAACAAATTATCTTAATAATATTATTGGGTTATTGTAGATTTAGACATGTGAGGACTTAACATTTAAGGTGGGTCACTGTTCATTTATCGCAAAATTACGGAATTTTTAACATGGCGAAATGGCGAGAAAGTTGATGACAATTTACCTCATTTCAGTTGAAGTCAGATGCGGTTATTACTCAACTGAAGCCCCGGGGGAAGGTATTGGTAAAAAAGTATCAGAGATATTGTCCGACAGTAATAGCAGTCTGGATGTCGTAGAGGAGACCATTTACTTCTACTCCCGGACGCAACAGTTGTGCTCGGAGGAAATTACATCACCGGTTAGTTAAACTTTACAGCTATAATTGAAATTCAGTTTCACTTATATTTTCCTATATTCAAGTCAGACATCAGAAAAATGATAGTACCAGGCCAGGTCAGCACTACAGCGCACAGTGCACTTCAGAATCATCATAATAAATACATTGTATTATTAAATTTGTTGTTGTTTTATTAAGTTTACCGTCACCAACTCTCAGGTCACCGAAAGATTGAAAACAGTTGCTGATTTTGTTTGATAACGAGAAGAATGAAGAACTAAGCCTAAAGATAAGAGAAATTCTTTCGTAATATTCAGTGCACTCGAGACTAGCAGCAGACTATGGAAACTAATTCAATTTAGTTCAAGATTCTGTTTTAATCGTTAATTATACTTTAATTAAGAATACTTGTTCGAATAGTACTAGACGTAATATATAACACTTCAAAGTGATCCAGTAGATTACAATTATAGAAAGAATTTGCGCTTTGCTCAACTTAAAGTTAACTAAGTTTAATTAAGAAGTAAAATTCAGTTTGTGTTACTTCGAAATATTGATAAAAATAAATTATATTTATTTAACACACATTTCATTATTGATAAATCCGAGTTTGATGTTTGAATAATGGTTTTCTTTCAGGGTATTTATTTTTAATGAATTTCTTTTTCATTATGGTGATTGTGTCGTTGAAGTGTATGTGAGTGTCCTGTTTAATGAAATATGATGAACAATTCAACAGTAAATAATGTTTAACTTACATTTACAACTACTAAGATCCGAATATACAACCTTGTAGGGCAACCAGGGAAATATATGCCTATGAAAGTGAACTTTGGTAAATTCTACTTCATTCAATATGAACCCATGGTCATTGACGAGCATACCTCACTAGCATAGGTTCCAAAAACCGAAACTTAATATCCCAAAACCTTAACATCACTTTTTCTTACCTCTTTCTTAGCTCTGATACGTGTTTTTATAATACCGCACAGAATAACCCCGCAGAACGCGATTGGAACAAGCCGGTTCTTTGTTCTTGGTCACCAACAAGTTTTTTACGTTGTGCTTGAAATCTACAACCATAAAATGTCCACAGCCCTCCAAAATTGTGCTACAAAATTGTAGAAATTACATACCTAATTGTAATCGGGTACTGGCAAAAGTCCCGCAACATTGGGGCCCGTCCGCGGCGTTTCTCGCTGTAATCCGCACTTAGCAGTCCCCTAAATAACACTAATTACTCGGGTACACTTTTTCACCAGTGGGGCATTTCTCGGCAATCACGCACCTTTTTGACCCGCACCATATTGCGACCCCCACTATAAATTATCTCGGCTTTTGTTGCGATACAGACCTCAAGTATGCACCACAATGAGCCTAAGATGCATGTTTATAGTAGTGCTATGAAGTACTTAAGGCCTAAGAGACTTAGGTTGGAGGAAATCGCCAACACCCGATTTAACTATAATTAGCAGTCTCGCGAGTAACAATTATTACAACTTATTTCAAGATATCTCAGCTTCTGGATTGGAAGATAAGCGCCATCTTGGGCATGAAAATGGTCAGAATCATCATATTGAGTGGGGAAGACGCATGGTTTTAAAGTTTCGGACTTCAGTTTGTTGTTGAGTATCTAGGGCAGATCTCATTTTTCCGCTCTCGCGAGTAGCGACTGATGCACTTATTTCAAGTATATCTGCTTCTGATGGCGCTAAGCGCTCATCTTGGGCATTAAACCGGTCAGAATCATCACATTGAGTGGGGTAGAGCATGGTTTAAAGTCGTCCGACTTAGGTTGTTGTTGAGTGATTAGATCAGATCTCATTTATATGCTTCTTGCGGAGTCGCATTGATGTACTGATTTCAAGCTATATCAGCTTCTGATTGGAGTCTAAAGCGCTCATCTTGGGCATTAAACGGTCAGCTTCATTCATTGGTGGGGTTAGACGCATGTTTTAAAAGTCTTCAGCCTTCCGGATGTTGAGTTATTAGGTTCCAGATTCCTTTTAACGCTCTCGCGAGTAGCGTTTGAACGCACTTTTTCAAGATATCTCAGTTCTGTCTCTGATTTGGCGCTTAGCGCTCATCATGGGCCTTAAAATCAAAAACGGTCCGTTTCATCACATTGAGTGGGGGGTAGCCTCATGGTATTAAAGTCCTTCAGACGTCAGGTTGTTGGAGTTTATTATGGTCAGATCCCATTTTTCCAGCTCTCGCGAAGTAGCGATTGATCCACTTATTAAAAGATATCTCAGTTCTGATAGAAGCTAAGTACGCGCTTATCATGGGCTTTAAGATGGTCAGAATGATTCAAATTCAGTAGGGTTAAAGGCATGTTTCCTCGGGGCTAGCGGTTTTAGGAAAATTTCCCTGATATTCTTGGCAAACAACTTTTTCCTGGCGATTGATAAAGTTCATCGTATAACTATTTCACCATTGCCCCGTAGTGACCATCTTGCGGAGCATTAAAATAGGGGTTTGACCTATCCTTTTCTAACCCTAAAGTCTGAAGATTTTAAAACCGTGCTCTATGCTAACTTAATCTTATCATTCTACTATTTTTAATGCCCATGAGAACGCTTATAAATAATCTCCACTCCGAAGCCTGAGATATCATGAATAAGTGCTAAAACAAGAAGTGATAAAATTCAACCTTTTTTTTACTTCGGACTTTCCAACAACCACATTGTTCCCCCACGTGTTGTAACCAGTCCTTACGGAAGCCGAAGGATTCAATTATACTTTAGGCCAGTGACGGGTAAGGAGTGTGTACCATACTTTCGTCGCCCTCGAGACTTTGCTGCAATGGGGAAGCCCTCCATTTACACCCTCACACCCGGCTTACTCGGGAGTATTCGGCTGAGTGGACTGGGGGTTGGATAGACCACTCATGGTCCTAGCTGAGCGGTCGACGACGATCTCCCCACCGGCTATGTGACACGAGTCGGGAATCGACCTGGGTTACTCGAGAAACATGCCAGGGGCCGATTTACCAAACTGAGCCACTAAGCCGTTTCGCGAGAGCGCTACTCGCTACTCGGGAGCGTAAAAATGGGATCTGGCCTACTAACTCCAACCAAGACTGAAGTTGAAGACTTTATACATGCTCTACCCCACTCTTGAGGATGATTCTGGGCCCGTTTTAATGCCAGATGAGCGCTTAGCTCCAATCAGAAGCAGATATATCTTGAATACAGGTGCCATCAATTCGTACTCGCGAGAGCGTTAAAAAATGAGATCGCCCTAATAACTCTACAACTGAAGTTCGAAGACTTTAAACCATGCGCTACCCCCACTCAATGACGATGATTCTGACCGTTTTAATGCCCCAAGAGGAGCGCTTCGCTCCAATCAGAAGCTGAGTATCTTTGAAATAAGTGCAAATCGACAATCGCGAGAGCGTTAAACTTAAAAAATGAGTCTGACCTAATAACTCATCACCCGAAGTCTGAAGACTTTAAAAACCATGCTCTACCCCATCAATGAGATGATTCTGACCGTTTTTAATGCCCGCACTCCCAGATGAGCGCTTAATAGCTCCAATCAGAAGCTGGATATCTCTTGAACTAAGTGCCATCAATCGCTACTCGCGAGGAGCGTTAAAATGAGAATCTGACCTATACTCAAACACCCTGAAGTCTGAAGACTTTTAAAACCTATCTACCCACTCAATGAGATGATTGCTGACGTTTTTAATGCCCAAGATGAGCGCTTTAGCTCAATCAGAAGCTGATATATCTTGAAGTACGAGCATCAATCGATACTCGCGAGAGCGTTAAAAAATGCGATCTGCCCTAATAACTCACACCTGAAGTTGAAGGCTTAAAACCCGCTCTACCCCCACTCAATGTGAGATTCTGACCGTTTTAATGCCCACAGCTTAGGCGCTTAGCTCCAATCAGAAGCTGAGAGATCTTGAAATAGTGCATTCAATCGCTACTCGCGAGAGCGTAAAATCTGAGATTGACCTAAGAACTCACCAACCTGACCGTCTGAAGACTTTACAAACCATTGCTCTATCCCACTCAATATGCTGATTCTGACATTTTCATGCCCAAGATGAGCGCTTCGAGCACCAACAGAAGCTGAGATATCATTGAACTAAATGTAATAATTTTACTCACGAGCTGCTATATAGTAAAATCGGGTTGGTTTTTGGGCGAATTCTCAAAAAACTAAGTCTTTAGGCCTAAGTATCTTCATAGCACTAACATAAACATGCATTCTTAGGCACATTGGTTCATAATGAGTTCTGTATCTCAATCAGAAGCCGAGAATAAAATTATCGTGGGGCGGGGTCGCAATAATGGGTGCGGTCAACAAGGGCTTGATTCCGAGGAAATGCCCACTGGTGAAAAAGTGTACCCGAGTAATTAGTGTTATTTAGGGTCATATAAGTCGGATTACATCGAGAAACTCCGCGGACGTCCCAATGTGTGCGGGACTTTTGCCAGTTACCCAATTATTGGCTTTCTTTGACAGCCCATAATTAAATTCGATTTAATTGTCCGTAATTGCCAGCCGTAAGATTTTGAAATCCCCCTACTCTTTGGCTAAAAACATCATAATTCAATGATCTAAGCAGTCGAATGAAACTAGAGGTCTCAGAAACGCATATAATCCTTTTTCGATTCATAAATAAGGACTGCAGAATAGCTTAACATACCGTTTATATCATTTAAATTTGCATCCCGATACAGTTGCACAATATTTATAAAACACAAACATTTCTCTTTAAATTCAAAGCGTGCTTACTTTTAAACACTAAACGTGTTAAATGCACAACAGGTCTACGACTCATCTCGGATGAGGTGAAGCATATGTGATGATATTATACACAACATACAGTAACCAACACGTAAACCAACTTCGGCCAATGCTGGAATTGCCGTAATTTGTTTCGTTTGTCGGGTGCGGAAACCCGTAAAAATCATATATTAATATTAAATCTAAAAGTACAGATTAATCGACACCGCAAAACATACACGCAAACATATATATAGCTTATCCGAGTAATCCATAGAATTTAATATTTTATCACTAAACAACACGATATCTGACTTATTCGAACATCTACCATTACCAAAATGTAGAAACAAACATAACAAATTTACTAAAACTAAAGCTAACTAAGGCTGGAGAAAAACCCCCTTCGCCCTATAAAATTGAAACCAGCAGTTATGTAACGAGGACTGAGGGTATAAACCTACTGTCATAAGATAATACATAATAAATGTATTTCTTATCTACAAAACCATGTGCGTACGAACTAACGTTATCGGTAAAATAGTAACAACTTAAATAGCACAAGTACAACATACACCGATTACCATTAAACTTTCTTTTCTTCTATCTACAAAAAATTCAATTATACACTTAAAGAGACAAAAAGCGCATGTCACTAAAACATTCAGTTTAACCATAACTGATAATAATGATTAGTGAAAATTAAATAACGATCAATCAGTTCAACTTTAGTGTGAACTGTGAACCAGTCTTGCTAATAATAGCAAGAAAATCAAATTTAAGCAAGACAATCAAAGTTTTATAAATATTTAATGTTTTCAAACCGCAACATCAGCTGATTAGATCGACATCGAAACTATTGAAGTTCATCATTTTCGACTAGATTAATAGTTCTTATCCCATAACCACTTCAACATGCCGAGCAGGGGTGTGGACTTTAGGGCGTTCGTCATCAACGAAACATGTCAGGAATACAGATGTTAACTTGAGTCTACTCTGCAACCTGTTTAGAGTACCCGCCCTAACACCTGAGCACCTGAAAAAAGTACATGACTTAGTACAGAGATTAATGAATTTTCTTGACAAGGTAGATGGCAATATTAACTGAACCACCGTTCACATATGTGGTGGTGTAATCTGTGTGTTAATTTTCACAAGTTTCTTTGGTTTTGTAGATTGATCTGTTGTTACTTTGGACGTCACTACCACTTTCTCATGCCAGTCTCAAGATATAAGTATTAAAACTGACCCTGTGCCCAATAGTCTGAACTCCATTTCAAAGAACAGAATTTACAGAGGATAATTTATAGAATAACTGCGTCCATTGTCACATTCACTGGATGATTAAAAGGCTTGGACGGGAATGAATTGATTTAGCCGGAGAAGATGCTCAACATACCTTCAAATTGTTCCCAGGTAACCCTATCCGATCTTTAGAATGATGGCGCCATACAAGTGATAAAATAACCGTAATCCCCGTTCAAGGGTTACTTTTGGCTTTTGACGACTTATTTGACTCTTTGAAACCAATCCAGCTTTCATTTTTTATTTTATCAACGTTTTGGTGCAGGAAAACTGGAAAATGGAACTGCTTTTACTCGTAGCTGTAGCTTTATCATCCGGGATGAGTATGTCTGCTGGTTTAGTTTTGCTTTGTTACAAACTGTATTGCAAGAAGAATCCCTCATGGCAGTCAGTCGGCCCCACAGAGTTCACCTACATTCCGATGAACACTTATCCAGAGCTAATTAAAATCGGACAGATTCAGCCAGTTGCCAAGGAGGATGAACCGCTAATTACTCATCGAAATCCATCAAATAAACTTTCAACGATACCTGAAGATCCTAAACCACCTGGAAAAGACGACAAACCATGTCCAAAAAGTGGACCCACTAACCCATTTGTTATTCGCAACTCTTTAAAACGATCTGGAGATCGCAAGGCGTTTTGCAGAAGGGAAAGTAGCAGAACTGGAAATGGATATAATTTATCGGAACAGCGTCCTAGAAATTACGATTAGGAAGATAGACAAGATCCACGACAGCATCAGCAAGAAGGAAGCGTACGTTAGGGTAAAGAATCCTAGAGAGAGAAAGATAAGCATCCCCATGCTACGCTACAGCAATAACTTTCAAGCCTTATTGGGGTCCCATAACTTCAGATTCAATATCACAATGGATCAGCTGCAGACGATGGTCTTCCGCTTCTACCTGTGGTCTGTCGACAAGCATTCCAGACAACGAGAATTTGGAGAGTTCGCTCTTGACTTCAAGGATGTTGTGACGACTCGAGATCTCTACTCTGGTTACACGGATAAGTTTGATTTTCTGATATACGATACAAAACCTCAGGATAAAGACCCCTCGATAAGACTGAGGCTTAAATACCACTGCAAAACAGGTAAATTAATTGTGAGTGTTTTTTTTTTTTCAGGAAATCAGAGATTACACCACGCTCCTCTATCCATCAAGCCGGAACCGACCGTTTAAAATCTTGTTTACCAATACCCAGACCGGACTAAATCAGGAGTACAAAACAAAACACGTGAAGGGAACAAATCCGCAATTCCACACGACCTTCAACCACAACGTTCAGTTGCGAGAACTAGAGGAGACGACCATGTTCGTGCAGATCAAAGCAAGGACCGTTCACACAGACACCCTCTCGGTCCTGGAGTTTAGTTCGAATGCGACAGGCAGATTGGGAGAACATTGGACCCAGATGATACAAGGTATATCAGGGGGTTACGGAGTGGAGATGACTCATCGGGCTCCGCCAAATAAGAGACGCCCTCCCAAATTTTAGCGACGGCGCGGCCCCCCACCTACACTCTTCTGAGAGGTCATGACCACCATCTACACTCCTTCTGAGAGGTCTGGGACCTTCAGTTCATGACCACCACTACACTCTTCTGAGAGGTCTGGGACCTTTAGTTCATGACTATCTCAGTTATTTTCCGCAATTACTCGAAATAATCTAGAGAAAAGACAAACGTGATCACCAGCCAAAGCTCGTCGATGTGTAAACTCTGGACAAAATCAATGAACGTAGCACTTGGGCACATGTTCAATATTATATGCTACCATTACTACCATGTTCCAATATTATATAATGCTACCATTTTATGCGTAGTTTACATGAATGATGATTTTTAACATATATGTGAAAAAGAGCGTTTGGCACCTCAAACACCTAATTATTTGGGCTTCATTTATCCTTTAAGTTCTCAATAACAAACATGATACTGATAGATATGATTAACTGCAATAAATGTTTTTCATATTTTTACTTATAAATTGTAGATAATTAAATTTGTATTCTTATCAAATCAAAACGTTTATGTTGTTTGTTTTATACACAACTCACACAAGTCAAGTCGAATATCTCACAATTATGGCGAGGCTGAAAAAATTATAAACACAGTAAACCTCTGATTTCTTACCTCTCGATGGTCAAGTTTTTCAACGAGGGCATAGCGGAGAAGTTGCAGCTGTTGAACCCGAAATCAGTGAGTTGGTTGCAGTTACATATATGTAATCTGCTCAGTTTGTTGAAAACGTGTGTCATACTGAACAAACGGGAGTAAGTAGTATATAGGGTTACAAAAAAATTTATTGGCAATTAAAAATGATAGGGGTCGAAAAAGCTGGCGATTATCCAACTTCTAGCTTTGGTATTCGTCAGCATGGTATTCTAATTTCTACATCTTGGTGTGATGGACATGTCGTGACCGCGCTACCAGCTCAACAAATATAGTCATTTTCGAAGACCTTTTCATCATATTATGATAATTCCCCAAAAGCAAAACCTGGATACCACCCAAACATATGCCACCTACCCGGGGTAAACATTTTGAGTCTTGATTTAAAGTGGATTTTCAGCTATTTTGGGATTGGTGTTGCCCCTGTGGGTCAAGAGGTCGAAACTCGGTTTTTCTGATGGTTTGGGTCAGGAATTATACTACTTATTTTACCGCCGAAACATTTGACACCTACCCGGGAACAGTGACCAACAAATTACGTACATAAGTTGCCCTTTCTAGTAGACACAGATTCGCCCGATGGGCGATTAGAGGAACTTCTTTTTGTGGTATGACTTCTTTTGGCAGTCATTCGAGGATATGTTTAAATCAAAGACTGTTTGTGTTCATTTTTTTTCGATGAAGGTTCAATTATCGCATTTATTTGATAGTTAGTAATGGATCGAGCCAAATGTTATTGATTGTGTTTGGCCATTCGAATTTTACGTTAGTTCTGAATAATGCGTAGTTGTAGCTTCTCGATGACCGAGAACTGTCCGGCAGCCTATTCATTACTATACGTGTGATCAGGTGATTGCTTACAGATCAGGTGGATTAGATAACCCGGTTAATTGTAAAGGTTGCCCTGTCACATTATCATTTATCACCCGATCAATTTTATTAACGAGATACACAAAATGCTTGATAACATCGTCATTTCAAATCCGTTTTGCCTCATTCTTCAGATCAGATGTAGCAATTAATTATCTAAAGTAATCTGAAACAAGAATTTCGCCGCGGTAACACCACGCACGATCAAATTTCCCTACTGCCTTCAAATATATTTGTTCGACTTTATTGTCTCCCTGGAGTGGTGTTTGGCGCACGTGATAATTGTTTACATTATTGTAAGCGTGCAGAACTTGAACAAGAAATGCGGCCGTTTTTTTGTGGATGGCCGCTCACTTTCCCCATCGTGATGGCGTATTTTTATTTTATCATACATCCAATACAACCTGGGCACCCAGTTTTTTTATGTTTATTAAGCATGCCGATATAGCGAGTGGACAGGCCGAGGCGCCACCAAGTTAATTAATTCCATATTGAATTTGCAATCGCTGTTCTATTTCTCTGTAACCATTTCTATGGTTATGCATATGCTTATTGTTTATGGCAACCTGACACCCGACAGGATTCTGTGCAAACTAGTTTAATAGTAACTCAAACTAATGATAGTTATGCTATCAATTAGTGCCTAGCTGGGGATATGTACATGGTGGAAATTTTAAATAATGTACTTGGTCAGTTCAGCGCGCGCCGCCAACAATTATTTAATTCAGCTTATTGCGCAAAAATAACTTTGCGCAGGGTAGTCACGTGGGCGATAACAGTGCGCGAGGGCCACGTACGTCCTTGACTTTTTGTGCCTTCGGCACTTTGAGCTCATAGGATCGGGAAACAAAAATTCAGCACACATCTGAGTGTGGTCCATCTGTATGTGGTTTGGTTGTAGATATTTCATATTTTGCGCGGTTTGTTCGTGTTAACGCTGCGTTTCATGTACGTCATATTATTATATCGTATGCCAACTTAGTGACTGTAATAAGAATTCCTGTTTCATCTTAGTTATTCTTTGTATCTAACATAAAAATCATTTGATGACGTTACCTCGACACATCTACAGCACCATCGACTATATAGGATTTTTTTAAGTTTTTTAAGTTATATATCAAGATCTCGGACGGATTGTAAGTTGTTGATACAACACTTGTAGGTAAAACACTACTTACTAAGGTGAGATGTCAGTGGAGACTTGAGAGTTTACAATGTACTGGAGGCTGTGATCGTCAAGGGAGTCCCCTTCAATTACCAGTTCCTCCAGGGACAATGGCAACCTGCTCTCCAACAGCTCAGCTAAATTAACTGAGCTGTAACGCAGTTCTAACCTGGATTAACACACCATTAGTCTCCGTATAAAAGAGTGGTTCCCGGCTACAGTCCGAATTTGAGAGGGGAGAGGGAGTGTATTTACTTATATTGAGGAGGTAACAAGAGGACCCGCCTTTTTTTTTTCACCAAATAACAGGGCCTCTAATCTATCTACAGAAATATAAGGATTGAAAAATTTTATAGATTATAACGGGGAAGATCAGTAAACCATCATTAGACCTGACTAAAATAGAAAGGTTTTGTAGAGAGAAATGGGGACTTAGTTTCCGCTTTTTCCTCGACTATCTCTTTTGTCGACACGTTATTTTGTTTCTGCGGGTAAAACGATTGTAATAATTACAGATTTGGTAATATTAACTCTGAAGCTCTGAGTAAGATTATTTTAAGCCACAAAATCCTCTCCCGAACCGCCCCAAGTGGTCTGGACTAATGATAACTTAGGATTCCAAACAATGATTAATTCCTCTAGGATTCCCAGGCTGCATTTTTAAGCGCTTGACAGCACCAGTTTTAACTTTCAGGTTCGCTCTGAACATCTCCAGACCAACCTCAAAAACTCTCTAGGTATTCACATCGGTGTAGAACTTAACTGTTCCAGGCCATTGACGGAGTATACGGTAACAAACTGCGGAGAAACTTGCATGGGTCGAATCCAACAAAACCCATCGGACCAGTATCCTTCCTCCCAATTCGGCCACACTCAGTGACAAAGAAAAACCCTTTGAGTGTCCTAAACAAATATAAATCCGGAACTTTAATTTTTCAGGAAACTCACAATCCGATGGTTAAACATGGCCGCTGTCATATAGATGCTTTATGTCACAGCCACTAGTTACTTTCAGAACGTGGCGAACAAACGTTCAACTTCGAGACGCAAGATTAGTGAACACTTTCAGGAGAAGCAGACACATCCCAGCACTCCTTGCAAGTGCTCCAGCTCATGGCGCTCAGAATGCGGATATTTGGTAAAACCCCTACGAGGATCTTAAAACAGTAAACTCAACCATATCTTACAAATTTTTGGAACAGTCGACAAGACAGGGATTAAGGGAAAACCTTTTTTGGTAAATCCTAGGATTCTTTACCAGGAACACTTTCAATTAAAATCTACACTAGGAACTCAACCCAGGCCCATCTCAGGTAGAGAGAACATTCTCCAGGCTTTGACCTTGCTCGAAGTTCCCTTGTCTGCCCTTGAAAAGTTCGAAATTTGTCTCATTATGACTGCGATAATTTATTTTCACGGCACCACACCAAGGAACTATGTCTCTTGATATATAATCTGGCAAAGGTCCAACCACCCAGGCTAAAATTCATCGGTAATGGCACCCGCCCACATTATGTATACTATGCAATGATTTATTATTTACGATTTAAGACACGGAGGAATTGATTGTTCCCTTTGTATTGTACCCCATTAAGAGAATATTCAGTGTAATGGCAGTCCTGAAGTTCAGAATAATTCCCATGACCGTTTCATACAACATACTAGCTAGAACAAATAATTTGAGGAAGCGATAGCGATGGTAAACAGGTCGATATATTTTTAATGTTGCCAGGCCGTGGGGTGGACAAGTCCCCCATTGATCGCAGCCGCTAGTATTAATGCTTTTCAATATGTAAAAGAGTTGCACATCTAACGGCTATAGGAGGACTTCTCAAATCCATTTATATCAGATCTTTACTTATTTTATTAAATTACAATTTTAATGCAACCGTAATATTCGCTTTAACTGTTTTGTGACGGTTTTTACATACCCTAAATAGTAAATTACGTACTTAAATAGTCGATTTAAACGTTAATCTTACGTATGATCTATAATTCAAAAATTTTTACCAACAAACTACACCCACTATGTTCTTTATACTAACTTTAAAACACCTTCCGATGGACGTAAAAGGTTTGCCTGCGTCGCCTCCCCCTGCGCCCGCCAATGATCAATCGATGAGGGGCGGCTGAACATCGACAAAATGTTCAAAATAAATTTGTTATGATATACGAGTAGCTTATTAGTTAATGCTAGGTAGAAGTTTATATAAAGCTGAGCAGCTTACTCAGATTGGGAACATGATCCTACTTCTGGTAAATCAGCGTGGGTCCTTAACACGTGGTGGTTAGATTACCGTTCCCTGTTTTGTTCAGGGGCACCCGCAGTGCGGTTCTAGGTAGGGGCCGCCAGGAGTGGCGGTGCACTGTTGGAATCAGGGGCATTTAACACTTTTTAACTCACCGTTTTTTATATCATTATTAATAACATGAAACCGAAACTACTTCACATTCTTGTACCGTTTAATGACATGTGACCACGGTAATCGGAACGATCTCGGCTTAGGTTAAAACCGTTGTCAAATTTGTGAATCTGTGAAATGTACCTCAATAATAATACAAGCGTTGAGGACGTGAGAGCGCGGGAGATTAGGGCACAGACACCAGAGAGATGGGCATGGTCCAGATCACCAGAACCCACTTGCAATCAGGTAGAGCAGGAGGATATGGCAGGTCGTGCTTGTAAAGACTAAAATCTTCATAGCCCACTACCTAATGGGGTACACACAGATTATAGTTAACTACGTGAAAACTGACGCCGGTAAATTGTGTGCCAGTGCAAAAGCAATTCTTACCAATCTCATTTAAACTGTTTACAGAGGTAGTAAACATAAGATGTAATGTACATATTACTCAGCTCCAAAATTACGCTCCAATTTGCAACATTTTGAATCCAAAGAATGTGGGTCAACTGAATTTCGACCACCTTTATGCTATAAAATTAGTTCCTTATCGAAAATAATGCTAGGGCATAGCCTGCATATTATGTATGGCGCTCAACACAGCCACAGAAGCAAATAGTTCTTACCCCTGAAATGACATGTCCCTCAAAGGCTCGATGTGCGACATGCTCCTCCCTGTTTACGTTAGATTACGATGGTTCTGCCGATAAACTGGGATTGGCTCCGCGCTGATGATGCTTTTCAACAGGCTTGCAAAGCCTACTGTTGTAGTCCGATAGCAACTTAAGTATCGTATTTGCTTGCTGCACGACCGTTCTGGAGATATTCAGATCCTGGGATTTAGAATCGTTAGATCGGCAAGCTTGTTTTGTCAATGCTAACCATGCTTTATGGAAAGAGAAATACAATAGTAGAAGTTATTCTGAAGTGATCTAAAAGTACAATATGGTTACTCAGTAAATTTGGGGGTTGGAGGGGAAGTGATGGTTAAGAGAAAAGTATGCAACTAGTATAGGCCTTCGATGGGGTTTAGTTTCAGGAAAAATGTTATTATGTTAATAGGTTGGACCCACACAGTCTCGTACAAATTATTGTTTCCATAACAAAGCTACTGAGGAATCGTGTCCGGTGTTTTTTTTTGTTGGTAGCCATTTCTGCAATACTTCCATGAGATCTCTTTTGTGTTCGTGTTATAAAATTTTATCAAGCAAAAAATAACAAGCTGTGAATTAAGACGTAATCTCCAATTTATTGATTGACAATTTGCGCACAATTTATTCTGTTCTATCGGAAAGAATAGCACGTCAGTTGCCAAAACCATTGCCACAGCAGTACAGGCTTCCGATATTGACTTAACACGTTACGCTAATAAGAAATTAGCATAAACGACGTCGTTTCGACGTCTCTTAAATTGGGTATCGTGGGTATGATATATGCCACAAAATAGGAATATAACTACAACATACCTGAAGATTAGTGATGACAGTAGAATTGAACTCAATCCTCCTGTACACGGGTTTGTACAAATAACATCTGGAATCAAACTAGTATCAGCCGGTTCCGATGACAATCTCTTGCAGCTCCCAGTAAGGTAACCAGTTCATTCACACAACAGGATCAACCTGCCACATATATAGTACAATATATTATATATGTAAGTGGTATCTTTAATCTGTTCATATTTGAACAGGAATACTTGATCTAGTCAACATCATTTAGCAGCATTTAATCGTTAAGATGAGGGATGAAAAATGGCAATATTACAACTTTTGTCATCAATACTTTTTAAATCTTCCTAAAAAGTAACTTTTTCAAAAACCTGATATGTCAAAAACCCGCAACGCCCTTCCACGTTGACTTTTAAAATAACTTCTGAACTGAAGAGCCCGAGACGTTTAGTTTCATAGGTCTTTGGAAAAGTTTTAAATTTTTCCAGATCAACTTTGTACTTTCGTTTAGGTTCTCGAAGATCTTCTCCGAACGCACAAATTCACAACTAAGATAGTAACGTCATTTATAACGAAATTAACAAATACAAGAACAAATTATTACTGTCATTAACTTCAAAATACTGACCAAGAACATAAATCATAAAAAACTAATTTGGTTAACGCTCAGAGCTCCTTTAGTTGCAAAACATTTTTTGACAAATAGTCTCCAACACAACGACACAGTTCTCCGTTTTATAACCAATTGTCCAGATAACAGTTTCGACATCCTTAGGCCTTCTTGAAGATGAGCTATAGAAGGAGTCGGTGAGAAAAGGGGCTGGACAGAAACGAAATCCAGTTCCGACAGCTGGGTTTGGAGAACGAGCAATGATAGTGGAGATCATCTCAACCGATGTTCTGAAAAGTTCTTCAGTCTTCCCACCTCTCATCCTCTGTGCAATCTGCAAACAAAACTTTCAACTACTCGTTTAATTGTAATACTTAGTATCTGTTTAATGTTTTTAGGAGATTGGTGGTCATTAGCCCAGAAATTTAGACAATTGTCAGTCGCATCAAGTTAGTCCGAGTCAGATGTAATGTAATAGGTACATTATAGTCCTACCTATTATTTCTATTGGCGCCTGACGTATCGGGTGTGCTATTGGCATGGCAAGTTACCATCTCAGTGAACAGGGGCCTCTAGCTAAATTAATTAGACCCCAGGGCCGGTTACCCCCAAGGCATATACTGAGTATTACGAAACTGCCAGCTAAGAGGATGCGGGGTTTTCTCCTCTACAAACAGACAGAAAGTAATACACTCACCAAGCCCTGAGATGTGGCTCGTCATACCACGTGACATGACATGTACCACGTTGTTATGGACGTCACACTACGCGGCATGTCACCGTGATATGATATTCACTACGCGTCTGTCACGTGGTAGGCCGTCACACGGAAAGTAAATAACTTAACATCCCCATAGCCCTGGAGTTCGTTTTTTTTTTCTACGAGTTAAACTGAGCACGCCGGGACTGATTGCCGGTGAGGTAGGAGTTAGTGAGGTCATACACAGGAGCTCTTCTGAAGGTCTGCTCTGATGAGGAAATCAGTTGACGTGAGTCGGCTATTAGAAGTGAAAAAATACACCCAAAAAAGTTTCTCGTATGAACTAAAAACTGAAAAGTTTTTCAAAATTCCACCTCCAGAAACTTAGTAATGTGTAACATGTAAACCTTTTCATGTTGGTTGTATCTTGTTGAGGATAGGATTCGGAGTGGTATTTGGACAATAGCTTTCTAACCATTAACTGAAAAAGAGAAACCCCTTAGGAGTAAATATAGCAGATGGAGGGCATTGCGCTAATCTTGATAACTTGGATAATAAAACTAACATCAGTTGTGCATATTTAAGAGTCTACGGAAAAGGTTTTTTTCTTGTATTTATCTTATACTGTGAATCGCAGCACTGTACAAATGTACGAAATTTTTATGAGGTGGCTTATTTAATTTACTGACATAATAATTGATTAAATTGTCAGTAAAAATAAATTCTAATCCACCAATTACACATCCCTAGCAGCTAAGCTTTACCTTGCCTAGGCTTCCTTCCCTCAATCCCCCTTGACAGAGATATCGTTTATCTGAGGCCCACTGTATCCGTCTTCTTTTGGTCAGACTCTCTCCATACAATCTGAGTAGAATATATCCTAGGAAATATTATAATATCGGTAAGCCTTTATCGAGTGAAAATTACATAATCATACAATATAATGTATCACCTAGCGTAAGGCTGTGTGCTTTTTTCCGAATTATTTCTTTAATTTCACGAGAATTTCCCTTGTAAATCAGTTTAAAATTGGTTCGGCAACGTAAGTATTCCTTGATCAGACTTAAATGCACGTTTATAGGGGGGTGCCACTGCCCATTATATCTAACCTTGGGGAAGTCCCTTGTGACTTAAGGAAGGCTCCAAGATTTTTGATTTGCTGGTTCGACGACGACCTGCCGTCTCTTTCAAAATTTCTTCGTTTTAATTCCTAAAAAGGACGATTACTAACCTTCAATTGTAAAGGGGCGTTTCAACGTTGTTAAACGACAAATCCTTCTCCTTTCACCCTGAATTACAATGTATCTTCTTTATATCGAGCAATACATGGTATTACAAATATTTAACGGGTTGAAGCACAATGCCTCTGGTACATTTCAACAGTAATGTAGTACGTACGTTGCACAATGACCAATGACCATTGATATCTAAGCCCTGCATGGTAATGTTATTTCTTCTCTCTTTTACGAAAATACGGAGATGGCTCGAGGAGGGGGCTCGAAAAAACCAAAGATCTCGGAGCCTT